AACCAACTGAGCTACCCAGGCGCCCCATGTAGTAGATATTTTTTGAATTGAGTACTCACCTCAAAACGTATCGGGGAGTTTTTGTTTTTTAATATGGTTGGTTTTTAAAAGAGCACCAGGTGAATGATGGCTGGAGGAATAAACTTTGGTGTGTTTGAAAATCTTGCTGATGTGTTTCAGGCTCCGGCCTCTATTTTTCCACTGATAACATTCCATCAGGATTCCCAGATGGCTGGCTTGGCCCAGCGCCCCACCTATCTGCCTAGAGGTAGCCCTTGATGAAACGGAAGCTGTGTGAGCACAGGCTGTGGCACCCACACACGGGAGTGAATCACGTTTCCCTCCTGAATTCCCAAGAGGCAGACAGGCTGTCTAGATTACCCTGGGTGTGCTGGCTCAGCCCCGGGGTCACAGCGCCCATGTATCAGCATTCACGAGGACATAAAACCAAATAAGAGACTCAGTGATTGCTCACCATGAGGCAAAGACCAGTCACCGGCTACCTTTACCAGGGCACAGAGTGAAGTATATTTCAGGGAAGCACTTAAGTGAAAGAGAATCCCACCGACTTGCTGGGGGAAGCCAAGGGCAGCAACCAGAACTCCTTGACCTTGAAACTGGAGAAAGTCAGCACAGGGCCTTATCCCCCCTCCCACCAACTGTGATGCAGAGAAAGAAGTTCTACAACAAAAGGGTCTCCTTGTTGTTTATTCAGATTAAATAACTGGAAAACTGGATGTTTTCACCAAATATATTCCCCTTTCTTCTTGACTGCCCTCATACCGAAAACATCAGAACACCCCCTACCTTGTACCAAGAAAGAAAAACAAGGTAAGGGGGAAAAAGGTTTGTCGCCCGTACGTGACATCTTAGGCATTTTTAACAATTCTATTTGTAATGGTAAGTGGCCATTGGAAGATTTTCTTCCACCAGAGAAAAACAAAAACTGCGTGAGTTACACTTCAGGAATAAAGAGAGCGAAAATACTACCAAAACACTGAAAGAAGGAATTCTTCCCTTTAGCTCATTTATTTTCCTTTTTATTCCCTTTAGCAAAGTCCTGAAATGCATAACAGACTCTATCTTGGTTATATCTCGGTGAAGATTTCTGGGGAAGATGGTTTGGGGAAAGGTATTCTTAACAATGCAAATATTAACAAGCGTCTGGTATTTGGGAGGTATGCAAACAATACGTCAAGAAAAATGTTTCATCGGGGAAGGACAAAACAAAATCAAGACACTTCTGCTCACCACTGTAGGCATTTTCTTACTGCCCTGCACTTTCTGGATGTCTCATTCTCAGATGTCATCTTTTTATCAGCCCGTTTTCTCTAAGTCACGAGGACAGGTTTAACTATGCATCAACGACACAGGTTCATTTCAGAAGTCAAGATTTACTAATGCAGGAGTGTGGAGGCATGCTAATGACATTTTCATGTTTACCAAGAGTGTGAAGTTTGGGGCTTCGACAAGATCAGTCAAACAGTAAGTTAAAAGTATTTTATTGAATGGCTAAAGAGCACAGAGGGACACAGAATCCCTAGCTACCGTTTCAAAATTATACTTGCAAATTTGGCACAAGAGGGCTTCTCAAGATTAATGCATAAACATTTTTGCTCCATTTCTTGTGAGTTACATTCCTGAGAAAAACTGCTACGATATTTGCCAGCGACTTGGACCTGGCTTTTATGACTTGGCAGGATGTCCTGAAGAGGCCCTAGGGAAGGCATTCCGAGCTCTCCTGTGGTTAGGGGTGTTGAGGACACCTGGCGAGCAGGATGGGCTGGGGGCTGTCATCCGCGCATGCATAGGCTAATGTCCTACGCCTCTCCGTCTGTGACTCTGTTAGCTCCACTCTTAAGCCATGAGATAAAAGCCCCCTTCACTAAGGGCCGAGTGGCCACCTATGTCTCTCTCAGCATCTCTCTGGGGCCACGTTCCACATGAGCCCACACAACAGGGACTGGGAGGTCCGCACGGATAGTGCAGGCTCACTCTCCCTGCCCAACCATCAACTCGCAGGGCTTTCACATTTCCAGGCGGTCAACAAATATTTACAGAGCTTCTACGATGCGCCCGACTAACAGCCAAAGACAGATGCACGAGTGAAGTGAAATATTAGATGGGGGGCGGGGAATGAGAAACGGGGATGTGAGAAGAGTACTCAGGATCTCTCAACGACGACGGCGTCTCTAAGTCTTTACAAGGAAGGGCCAAGCTGAAGAAACCTCCCCCACCCCTTCCCGGGCTGACCCGCCCCCATGCCTCCCTGCACCAGAGGTGCACAGGAATCCAGGCAGGTGTGAAAGGAGCAAACAAAGGCGATGAACGAAAAGTTGTGAGACCGGGCAGGACAAAATCAGAACAGCCCGTAGCCACTATCTAGTTTGCAAATGGACCACCCAGAAAATCTGGGAGCAATTAGGAGGGAGGAAAAACAAATGGTGGTGGGTCAGGGGCGGGGGTGGGGGGTGGTCTGAGGATGATGGGAGGCGGGGCATCCCCGAATGATCTTCTGCTAGGAACACAAAAGTGAGGCAACACACCGCGACGAGAGCCCAAGGGAACCGGAGCCACGGAGTGGGGGTGCACACTCACGTTCTTGCGCAGTCACTCCAGCCACACAATCGTCACGTTTACAGAGTGATCAGAAAACAGGTTTGAAGGTGCAGAAGGTAGGAAGCCCCATTTAAACTCTCATTACTTTCGGACACTCATTTGAACCTTGAGAAGTGCATTTTGAACAGGACACGTGAATTTTAACAATGACATTCTTTTTATGAACTGTAAGGAGGGACGGGCTCACAGCCCGCATCCGCCTTCAACATCACAGCTCTCCAGCCAAACTAAAGACCAGCAGCGGGGACGCTGTGCTCCTGCCACGGGTCAGGCGACCTGCCGTGTGGTCCACATTGTTTCGTCAAGTCCCAACCCGCCTTCTCCCAAATATTGGTCTTGGGTTACAGATGAAGAGACCATCTCACTATGTAAAATATCTTGTCCAAGGTCACGCGGCTAAGCAGCAAACAGCTGAGCCAGAATTCACACGCAGGCTCCAGATCTCCGTGGGATGCACACGGGCACACAATCCTACCAGTGCCTCTGCACGGGCTGCTCCCTCTGCTGGAAACACACACTCAGTATTTCCATCTGCCCGCCTCCTCCAAGCCCTGTTTCCCATCCCATCTCCAACGCGAAGCCCTTCATCTCCCACGCCAGATGACCTCCCGAGTTGTCGCCTCCTCTGAACGCCCTCCACGCTACCGACCCCATGTCCAGGCCTGTTTTAACCTCCCGGACCAGAACGAGACCCCGGCCCCACGTCGGATCAAACACGGCGAAGCGCATTCTTATGCCACGCCGGGCGCAAGGTTTTCCTGTCAAATGCTGCAGAAGAGTTTTTAGAATTTTGCTTTGAAATTTTCGTTTTACTTAGGAATTACCTATGATCTCTCAGCAGTCACTGGGTATATGCGAGCATGCTTGGGATCTAGGAGGCCCTGTGAGTTGTTTTCAAAGATGCTAAAGCTCAGCATGCGTATTACATCCAACAGTTACTAAGACTGATCTGCCTTTTGTAGAGTTTTAAACCCTTATTAATTTCAATTTGCCGAGGGTGTTCCCTATTTTTGGAGCCTAGGAACTTTTTTTTTTTTTTTTTTCAGGTCTCAAAGAATTTTGTAGGCCCTTGAAAATCTAGTAGGTGCTAAGCACTGGGCCTAAAGTATCTAACGGACAGAGCAGGCCTTAGCCACGTGCTGCCGTGTGTAACCCTTCTATATAGATCTGCTTCAAGCCCGGCTGCTGTCCCCACCCAGTCATGGCTTTCAGCTTATTGAAGACCGTGATTTTTGTCTTGTTGACAGATTATTTTTTACAGCCACTGGCACAGCTGCCATATAATGAATGCTAATGGCCTCACTTGTTAAAAAAAATGTCATGAACAAACACAAAAACCACAACTTGAACTACACGCTCAAGTTGTGCGTATCTGAAGTATCTTCCCTTCCCTGAAGTATCTGAAGTTCTTTGAAGTTATATTCCTAACAGTTCTCAAACTCTGGGTTAAAAAAGAAAATGCTTTTGTCTTCATTGCTTTGGAAGATGGTAGGATCAAGCAGAATTGAAACATTAGGACACAGAGTAGGAACCTCTAGACGTCTTCAGCTTGCAGATTTCTGTTTTCCTGGCCGTGAGCTACAGATTTCCTTCAACCCACGTATAGGAGAGTGGTACTCCGAGTTTTCCCGACATTCCATGTGTCTAAGACGGCAATACTAAGTTGTTCTTGGGTCCAGGTCAGCTTCCTTTGGTAGTATGCAGGCTTTAACTAAATGCAATCTAATAACCCTGCGACGTACAGGATTAATCAAAAGCTGTTCACATGCCCAACTTTTAGGTACGGGAAAGAGGAGGCCGATGTCCCACAGGAAATAAGGAGAGGGAACGATAGCATTTGTTCCTGTGAACTCGCCCATACGTCACATGATACTTTCTCAACACCAGTAGAAAATCACAATTCAGTAAAAGCACAACGAAAGGCCCCAGGTACACTTGCCGTGAACCGTAACAAGATTTACATGAAAAACACACATTATTCGGCATGCAAACCTTCATGGTAGATACTCATCATGGAGTATAATAATTGGGCCTAACATCAAAAGGCCTAGCTTTGGTAACAAGACTGAAACAGACCTTTTCCACCTCGGGATAGTATCGCTATTTCTGTTTTCTGCACGTGGGCTGTTTTGGCCATGCCCAGACCCCGTGAAAACCCCCAGCTTTACCTGGGGACAGGCCGCATCTCACGTGGCCACTGAGAAAATGCGATTTAAATCTGCCTGTGACTATATTCTTCGAGAATCCCCAAAACGGCTAAAACTGAGCATGCCACGCTTGCATGGAAAACTGAGGAGAGGAAAAGCAAGGTGGGATGGAAAAGTCGGGAGCAGGGCTGGGAGAACTGGTGCCCCCCACGCTCTTGGCCGGCGCTGGCCCACCTCTTCCCATTACTGTCCCGAAGCATCGCTTTCCCCATCACTCTGGCCTTCGTTTCCAGCTCCTGCACCTCCTCCAGCAACGTTTTCTTGCAGGTATGCTTGGCCCTGTGTCGGAAGGAAAAGACAAAAAGCGCATGACGTAGGAACTTTATACAGCGTTAAAGCCTGGCTGCTCCCTTTTGGGGCCACATCTGGATGCCCTTGGACGCCGAGGCTGCAGCTCCAGACATCATGGAAAAGTCACAGTCCCGGTGCGTGGCCGGGGCTCCACTTTCATACACTGGGAAGCATCCCAAGTCCCCCAGAACACACTTGGACCGTGAGCCTCAGAAGTTAGCCCACATCCGCCAAGGAACGCTGCCTGCTGCTGAAAGCCTGAGAATCTGGCTGAGGACCCAGCCTTTCAGACCAAGGACCGGGGTCCATGGATATTCATGGGTCCATCTCCAAAGTGTTTCACTGCAGAACCTAAGAACCCAGAAGATGCTTTAAATCCTTACCCTAGTGGATGTACGCGGATCCCTTAGCCCTGGCCCCTACTGGGATCACAGACCCCGGGCGAGTAGTTTGTTCTCTTTTTAGCATCAAAAGAGCCACTGTCACAGCAGGAATGGGATTTATGTACGTATGTATGTATGTTTATTTAATTTTGAGAGATAGAGTGTGAGCGGCAGGTGTCAGGGGGTGGGGGGGGTGCAGAGAGAGGCACACACAGTATCCAAAGCAGGCTCCAGACTCTGAGCTGTCAGCACAGAGCCTGACGTGGGGTTCGAACTCATGGACCGTGAGATCATGACTGTGAGCTGAAGTCAGATGCTTAACCGACTGAGCCACCCAGGCGCCCCGGGAATGGGGTTTCTAATGCTGGAGTTCATGCTCTTCAAGCCAAACCCTGGACCTGAAATTTAGGGTCAGTACAAATATCCAGGCACAGCTTTTCCACTGTTCTCTTGCAGAGACTTACCCTCGGGGCCCATCTATGTGGGTCTCCATGGCGTAAAGCAACTGATGTAGCAACGGAAATAAGCTGGCCTCTGCACCACAGTTTAAACCTCAGCCTGGTCAGGTCACCCCCCTCGAACTGCAGGAAGAACCGCCTGCCCTCTTTTTCTGATTAAACTAAGAATACCTTACAACATTCAAACAAGCAGCTGATCTCAGGATCTTCCTGAAATTGAGACTAAACACAGAGCTACTGGTTGGAAACGATACCGCTGACGGAAAAGGCCATTTGACTAGACACAGGTATGAAACGGGGGGGAGGGGGGACAACTAAAAAGAAAAAGGGCTCAGTGCTTAGCAATATAGGCAGGTTTCTGTATTACAAAAAGCTTTTCATTAGTTTCAGTGTAAACAGATGTGGAGACCCTGCTAAGTGCCAGGACTCAAAGACAGGACAAGAACAAAAACGGAGCATCTCTGCAAGGAAGCGAAAACAGCGTAACGGGAACATTCTGAAGACGCAAGCTGTGGCAGTGAAATCGCATTCTTCCTCCCACCCTCCACCTTCAAGGGAAGAAGTCTGTTAAGATAACGCCCAGTCATCCCCTAACACTCCAAGTTAATCTATAATGGAGTATTAGTCCTAAGACACTGTGTATGTGCCTGTCATTCCTTTTCCCCAAAGTAAACAAGAGAACTTAGCCACACAGGTTTTAACACATAATACCTTAATTACATCAAGCCGAGTCCCGGGACTCAGGAGTGATAACATACTGCAGTTCAAAGCAGAGACTGTGGAATTTTAATTTAAACAAGAAATGAGAAAACGTTTAGCGTTTTGCTGGAGACAGTAAAAAAAGAATGTTGAAATTTGCACTGTTCATTATTATTGAATATGCTGGGCCCCCAACTTGAACTTTTATCTCATGGGCCCACGGGGCTAGGATGATAGGGAGACAACTGAGGGGCAAGCCCCGCTCCGCTAGGATTCACCCCAGATATACAGGTCCCCAAATACACAGAGAACACATCTGCGGGTCCTGGGGGATGAACATGTGCTCTGTTTCAGGATGGTCCTCAATCCACCCCTCTCCTCCTTCCTCCCTCCTTCTCCCAACACAGAGCAATCAGGGCTCATCAACCTCTGTAACAGCCCTCGGAGTTATCTTCTGGGCTGGGGGACAAGGGTGCCACCAAGAAGTAGGCTAGGAACAGGGAGGCTGGGCCAGCGGGCTGGAAATCTACACCTTAGGCCAAGGGAAAACGAATCTGACCCACTACATTGAAACTGCCAGTTTTGGCTCATTCACAAAATCATTTCAGGGTGAAACGATCTGAGTATCCTAATGCCCCCAGACACTGTGCATGTTTTTAATGGATGAAACTCACTGGTGTCCAAGAATTACTCAGCAAGTTTTCAGTATTTCCACGAGCCTAGCTCATGGAACTTGACCACTATTTGAGAACACCGTATGGCAATGCTTGGGGATGATTCCGTGAGTCTTTCTGCGTGTGGCACTGGGGTAGAAGTGACGTTAGCAACGCAAAACTGCTTTTTCAAGGGCCTTAACCTCATTAATAAATTCTTCGTTAGATGAATGGCTCTCCTCCCCCTGTCAAAGTTCACATGTGAAAAGCCGGCCTTTAAGCATCAGCCACTGGCCTGCAAGTTCGGTCTCACCAGGCACCGGGGTGTGGCTTGTTCTGAGTCACAGCTGTGACACAGTGAGCCCCACTGTCCCCCAACGGCTGGCCCGCTGTGGTCTGGGGCTGCTCCATCCAACCCCGCACCAAAAGACCAGATGATCCCACGGGGGGTAGCGTGGGTTGCTTAGCCACTGTCAGAGTGTGAGAGTCGTCTGGGAGCCTCCAGATACAGCTAAGGGTATCTCCATGTATTCGGGGGTTTTTAACACAAATAGATCGACGTAGCATCTTGACCTTTTCATCTTTCTGTTTCTGAAACTTTGTTCCTTGACTCCCTCCTCTGCACGGAAAAGCAGCAAGTCAAGGAGATGTTCGATTCCACTAAATGTGGACGAAAATGTAAATACAATTTGGTTCACAAAAACTTAGTTTAGTTGGGTTTTTTTTTTTTTAAATCAAGATTCATTTGTATACAGAAATTTCTTCTTACTTTTTATTTCCATTTAACTGCCTATCTGGGATTATAATAAGGAAATGAAGTCATTCTGGAATTGCTGAACGTATTGTGTGCTGACTGGTAAAGTATGAGAGATACAGTTAGATAAAAGGAGACGGGTTCCTGTGCCCAGTGGCCTTGAGCTTTATATTATTTCTACAAAGCAACTAACGAATTTCTCCTAAATGAGAATGAGTACATGGCAGCTTACCTAAGAATGTGGTCATGGGTAAACATTTTGGAAGTGCGTAAGCTAAAGTGTATTAAAATAGTTCTGGGCAATTTAAACTTCATGCTTCTAATAAAAATACTCATTAGCCAGGTATCACATATAATCAGTCAATTATTTTAGTAAAAGATGTGTTAGTTCGGTCCCTTATGAAAAGTATGGTTAATAGGATAACAGAGTAGGTACTTTATGGCATCCAAATCTGACTTAAGACAGTCTAATGGATCTTCGACCAGAAAGCTGACAGACTTCATGGAAAAAATGACTGAATTACCTCATGCTGGTTTTCTTTCTTTCTTTCTTTTTTTTTTTTTTCCTGACTCTGAAACAGTCTAGGTCCTGAAATGGGAGAGGGGGACTGGGCAGGCTAAGGGGGGAAAATGGAGAAAGAGCAGCTCACTTCCCTAAACACTCATAGAAATACATGCAAAAAGGTGGGCCTGCCTCCTGCTGGGATTTAAAAGCTCTTTCAAAAGAGAGTCAACCTCCAACATTCAAGACAAAACAAAAAGTCCAGTAAGATTGGGCCAAGGCAAGATGAGAGAGTCATCCCGTGAGAGACTCTGACATGGCCCCACAGGCTCTTCCTGCGAAGCCCAAGGACAGCCACAGCAATAAACAGTTGACACCCGGAACCCAGGGAAGGGAGGTTGTGGACAAGCAGGGTTCGTGTTGTTTGCTCAGTGTGCAGGAAGGAAAACCGGAACACGTCCCGGGAGTTAAAGCTCAGAAAGAGAAATCACAGTGCGACTCATACTCGGCTTTCCCTTCCCAAAGAAGCCTCTGAATTCACGGGACTCGACAACATCGACGTCAGGCCGGGAGTATCCCCGTGATCACAGGGAGGATTCCCAAGTAAACTTGTGAAATTCTCGTTTTTTGAGGACAGAGGTGACTGTACTTTAGACGTGAAATGTGTACTACAAATTGAGCATATTCTTTGGGCAAATGCTGCAGGTGAGAGCCAAGGTACGCACCCTCCCTGGTTTCTCCAAACAGGAAGGGACAAAAGTACATTTCTGTAAGTGTCCCTGCACTTTGGTAGCGGCCCTTCCGGCTCAGCCCAAAGCTGAGGCGCCGTCTGCTCTTGGGAAGGGCTGTTTTCTGGGCCCCTACCGGGCAGGAGGTAGCAGGTGGGGCAATGCCTGGGGTCTGTCTGCCTCTGTTGGCCCCCCACCAGCATCCTCACCACAGAGCACGGTCCTGCTCCTACCCGGCTGGCAAGCTTCTTGGAAATGAAGTGACTTTTGCTCTTTCCATCCGGTGGAGCTGGAGCTGGAGTGTCCGGCGGACACTGGAGCAGTGTCCTTTGATTTATTCTTGCTAAAATGTAAATGGCACTAATTTGACAGTGCCAGGGGAAACCAAAAACAAGTCCTGCTTGAAGGAATAATTTGCTTCCCTGGTGACCGGAAACTTTTACTCAGAATGGATTGGAAAAGACGAGGAGGTAGAGAACACTGTCATCGGCCAGCACTCTTCGAAATGGTAGAAAGATACTTTTGCTAAAGTCTCACTTGGCAAATACAGTCTCAATAACATTTTTTTTCATGGCATTAATCTAGATAGTTGAATTAAAATAGGCTGAGGTTAATTTATAATTGCATCACTATTCTCAATCAGTATAAATTGTAAAGTGATCTAATGTAACCAACGTCATGTTGCATTGACCTAAAACTAACCCAACTGTCATGTGAAATTGAAGAAATTTAGCAAGGTAAAATGGTATGCCACAATTGGGCTTTGTGCTATAAGAACAAATAATAGAACATTTTCCCTCAGTGCATTTATTAGATTAAGAAAACATCTTTCCTGGCTATAATTTCATTTGCAAAGATTCTAGTTCAGTTATTTACAAAACACGGGTTTAGTAGATAAAACGAAAGTAGGGGTAAATCAAGCCATTTAATAAATTAGAATTATTTAGTTTTTTCCAACAGTTGCAAAACTTAGTGACGAGGAA